TCATTTTCTCATGCAGTTCAAAAATCTCATCATGGGGAGTCCATTTTTCAGACAGACACAAAAACAAATAGTTGACATGAAGAACTATCTCCTGGCTTTTCCAAGATTAGAAAGTCTGCCCTTGGGCATTATTCATTAGCTACACCTTTCAAATAAAATATCTCAATTATTATTATTATATATATTTATAGTAAGTTTCAAAGCTCACAAATGACAAAAATAGCAATGGAAACATATTTGTAGAAGGAGAACCACAGAGTTCAATGTACAGCAGCCCCCTCCCATCCCTGGGAGATATGTTCCCAGACCCCCAGTGGATGCCTGAAACTGGATAGTACCAAACCATACATATTCCATTTTTTCCTATACATACATACCTCTGATAAAGTTTAATTTATAAATTAGGCACAGTAAGAGATTCACAACAACTAATAATAAAATAGAACAATTATAACAATATACTGTAATAAAAGTTATGTGAATGTGTTCTCTAAACTATCTTATTGGGCCGTACTCACTGTTCTTGTGATGATGCGAGATGATAAAATTTCTATGTGACAAGATGACGTGAGGTGGATGATGTCGGTGTGTGACCTAGTGTTAGGCTACTGTTGACTTTCTGATGCTACATCAGAAGGAGGATCATCTGCTTCTTTTTTTTTTTTTTTAAAGATTTTTTTTATTTATTTATTCATGAGAGACAGAGAGAGAGAGAGGGAGAGGGAGAAGCAGGCTCCCAAGGAGCAGGGAGCCCGTGTGGGACTCGATCCCAGGACCCCGGGATCATGACCTGAGCCGAAGGCAGACGCTTAACCATCTGAGCCACCCAGGCGCCCTCATCTGCTTCTGAACCACACTTGACCACAGGTAACTGAAACCTCAGGTAAGGGAGGACTGCTGTATGTTCATGTAATCTTAGCTGCCATGCATGTCCAATGAGCTTTTCTTTAAGACAAATCTTATGGTTATAAAGGAATAGAAATATAATTGGGATTCACAGGGCAGAAGCAATATGCTATTAGGTAATGATTATTAATTTCCTTCTTTGTTCCTTCTTTCCTTCCTTCTTTCTTTCTCTCTCCTTCCTCCCTCCCTCCCTCCCTCTTCCTTCCTTCCTTCCTTCCTTCCTTCTTTGTTCCTTCCTTCCTTCTCTCCTTCCTCCCTTCCTTCTCTCCTTCCTCCCTTCCTTCTCTCCTTCCTCCCTTTCTCTCTTTCTTTCTTACATGGCAGGCTCCATGCCCAGTGTGGGGCCCAACACAGGGCTTGAACACATGAACCTGAAATCAAGACCTGAGCTGAAATCAAGAGTCAGATGCTTAACTGACTGAACCACCCAGGCACCCCTGATTATTAATTTTCTGTATATGTGACTCAAGTTGACTATCATTATGTATTATTGAGATCTCATTTACAGAATTTGCACAATACATACCAATATCCTCTTCTAAAAGTTGAGATCAAATATGGCCTATGAACAGTTTCTGTTTAATTATAATACTGAGTTAATGATGCAATTAATATTTATTCAAATTCCTCTTTAATCTCAAGCATCATACATGTCCTTGAACTTTAAATTAAAAAAAGACACTTAAAATATCTGGATATAGACTTGCATTTTCATTTAAAGACATAATTAATTCTTAAAACATTAAGCTGGAGAGATAAAAGAAGAAAAGAGCATTCACAATTGCTCTGAGTTATCTGATAGGCTTTACAGCTTAGTCATTTCTGTTACTGAAAGCATTCACAGACTATTAGATACAGATCGAGTGTTTGGTTATCAAAAACACCCTTGCTCCTTTCATTCTGTGGTGAATCTTCCATTGAGATTGATTTGTGACCTGAGGTGTTTACGGTGGCTGTCTGGGGAATAAGATCTTTTTCATCCTTCTATATATTTTCTAAAGGTTCTTTAATGAACACGGGTTATATATATTCTCTCTCCCTAAAGAGAGTGTATATAATAAATATACAAATTCTTGCTACCTATGCCCTGTGCAACCAAAATGTCCTGCCTAAATTTGGCAATTGTGGAAATAGGTGATGGGGACATGGGGGTTTTTATGTCTTCTCTCTACTTTTCTGGAAGTTTGGAAATTTCATAATCGAGAGTTTAGAATTATAGTGTCTACTTACACATAGTCCCCTGCCAGGGTTTATATTGAAGAAGTTACAAAATAGGTCCCAATTCTCCAGGAATATACAATTTAGGACATGTAATGCTGATGAGGATTAACATAAAAAAATACACCAAGAAGGGTGCCTAGGTGGCTCCGTGGGTTAAGCTTCTGACTCTTGGTTTCGGCTCATGTTGTGATCTCAGGGTCTTGAGATTGAGCCCTGCCTCAGACTCCAAGCTCAGTAGGGAGTCTGCTTAAGATTCTCTCCCTCGGGGTGCCTGGGTGGCTCAGTCGTTAAGCATCTGCTTTCGGCTCAGGTCATGATCCCAGGGTCCTGGGATCGAGCCCCGCATCGGGCTCCTTGCTCTGTAGAGAGCCTGCTTCTCCCTCTCCCACTCCCCCTGCTTGTGTTCCCTCTCTCGCTGTGTCTCTCTCTGTCAAATAAATAAAATCTTAAAAAAAAAAAAAAGATTCTCTCCCTCTGCCCCTCCCCCTGCTCACTCGCGTGTGCTCTCTTTCTCTCACATAAATAAATAAAATCATAAAAAATACACCAAGAATAAATACAGCATAAATAGAGTAAAACAGTTCATTTCTATAACTCACTCATTTTCTCATAGCTCTCTCTTTTCCCCAGCTTCTACTTTGACCTCTCTCAAACTTTGACCCCACTCTCTTCCCCATCTGTTATCTGAGAATCAACAAGTCCTGCTTGTGTTTCCCCTGCAGCATCTTTCAGGCTCATCACTTACCAAGGAGCCACTGATATTTTATGCCCAGATGGCTGCAAAGACATCTGAGTTGTAATTCTTAATCTCTGGTCTCACTTGATTTAGGAAAATTCATCTTGATTCTTGATGTCAAATTTATCTTCCTAAGAAAGGCTTTGCTGTGTCTCTATTTTAGGAGCAGGAGGTACTCTTCTTGTATTCTTCTGACCCAGCCATTCTGCCCACTAGGCCATTCCTCTTACTAATCCCTCAGGAAACTCATCCATGCATTTTGCTGTCTCCTTGTCTTTGCTCAGTCTTCTGCACCACCTTACACTTCCATAAATCTTATATTTATTTATAATAAAAACATACACAAGTATTTACTGAATACTTTCAAGACCTACTTCTTCCTCCATAAGTGCCTTATTACGACCACCATTTTACCTTCCTTGGGATTACTTCTGTGTTTTTGAGTGTCATCTAAGCCACAGGACTTTTGTTTGGATAAGTGATCCAGTGGTTCTCAACCCTGCTGCACATTAGAATCACTGAAGGCATTTAAAAAATATCCATCCAAGGCCAATTAAATCAGCATATCGAGATGAAGCATAGGCATTAGGAAAAAAAATTTTTTTACATAAATTATTTATAAAATGTCCCAGGTAATTCTAACAAACAGGAAGTTGAGACTCACTCATCTAAATAATATTAGGTTTCTTAATTTGTACATACTATTCATTCATTTGGTAAAGAGTTATGAGTATCTACTACAGAGGTACAAAACTGGTAGCCCTGACATGGTTTGTTAGGCTTATAGAATGTTTTCAAAAAATTTTAGACTTTAGACAATATTTTAGAATTGGAAGATTCATCATAAACATTGAACTACCTAGCTCCTCTTGAAAAAAAAAAAAAAAGGAAGATCTGGTGAGACTGTGCATGAATTCTTACAAGGCAACACTTGGCTAGAATGGAACTGCAGTATCCCTTCTAGATGGAGAATGAGCTTCTAGTTTGCTACGGTCCTCATCACTCCCTACTGCTCCCTCACAGGGACTGAGTACTAACTACCATTTATTCTATCATTTGCATAGTTGTTAATGTTACTGCTTTAACAGTAGAGAAAAATTCTTTGAAGCCCTACCTGATTCCTTTCCCCTAATGACCCCCTCCACTCCCAATAAGGCTCACTGTTGAGTAAAAAATGTTTCTATGTGTCAAATATCCAGGCATCCAGCCCACTTTATTCATTTATATTATCTGACTGGCCTCCATAATAATTTGAATTTGCAGCCCCTGGCCTGCAAACACTGTGGTAAACACTGTGTTAGATGCTAGGGATATAGAAGAATGAGGTACAGTGTTCTTTTTGGAGGAAGTCACACTTTATTGGGAAATGCAGACATATGAAAAAGTATTGTAAAAAAAAGTCAAGGAAAGAAGGGAACAGTGCTTGTTAGAATTAGGAAAGATTGCACAGAAGAGGTAGCATTTGAGTTGATTCTAGAAAAGTGAATTGGGAGTGTTTACAGGCAGAAAGGCAAGGAAGCCGTTTTAGGCCAAGAAACAGCAATCCTCAAATATGAACGTGTGAAAGCCCACAGCATGGTCAGAAAATCGCACATGGGGAATGAGAGATGAAACTCGAGTAGGTTGGGATAGGGGAGGTTGGTTTTGTGTGAATTCCCAAGGGTCTTTTAATTTTGTCTTCTAAGATAGTGGGAAAGGCATTAAAGGTCTTTAACTGAAGAGAGACATGATCACATTTCTATTTCTATTATCAGAAAGATAATTCTGACAGCAACGGGTAGATTAACTGGGAGGCTAAGGTGAGCGATGGTGGGGACCCGATCAATGAGAGCAACAACAGGATAGAGGAGCAGACAGATTCGAGAGATGTTTCAGAAGTATAACTGGCTGGGCCTGGAAGAGTACAGGAAAAGGAGAGGACTAATCAAGGATGTTTTGATTTGGTATGTAAAAACCCAGAAAATATTTTAGCTGCTGAAGAGAAATTTAAAATGATTTATCACAGACATGAGTTGATGTTAGAGTGACTTAATATTTAACTTCAAGCTATAAAGCATCATTGTGGTGCGGGGTTTTTTTAACCCTTTTTTTGGTCTTTCAAATAAATATGCTTACAATTTAGGTGCCTGGTGCATACCTGATTCTGCTGAACTTAGAGGATGACCTCCAAATTTTATTTCAGTTTGGCGGAGTTTAGTCATGTTTAGCAGCTGTGTGACTTGTGGAACATCTGTCGTTAGTTGGCAGCTTCGTGGAATAATGTCTGTAGGTTCAGCTGTTGGAAAGGGAACACCATATCCAGCTGAAAATAAAGACAAACATTCATTCCCCAAATGTAAGTCATTTTTGCCAAATGGACATATCTTATAAATGAAACCGATTAAAGTAAAGCATTTTAGAATATGACTTTGAATGAGTTACTCAAATTTATGGCCTCAGCTTTCTCATCTGTAAAATGAGCATTGTAATTTTACTGCTTACTTTGTAGGACTATAGGAAAGATTAAATGAGATAAAGTGTATAACATATAGAGCAGGTTCAGAGACTTGTGCAATAAATGAGAGCATTCATTGGATAGATTTTATACTTATTTTTCAATACTAGAAGGTGACTCAAGAAAAGAGCTAGTTAGGTGTGCTCTGATGCAGATTTCTGGGAGTACAGTGGCCCATTTGTAAGGGATCAATGATACAAAGACATAGTTGAATAAGCATCAAGAGCCACTATGAGTAAATTTTTAACTTTTTATTTTGAAATAATTTTAGATCTACAGAAAAGTTACAAAAATAGTAGAGTTCTTAATACCTATTACTCAGCTTCCCCTAATGTTAACATCTTACCTTTGAATACTTCCAAAGAAAGAACAGTTTATTAAAATTAAAATAGTATTTTTATTATTGTAATTTGTATTCCTAATGAAATTTGATATCATTCATATATATTTACATGGATATACAAATTTCCAGTTTAGTAAATTTTGTGTTCATGTTCTTAACCCATTTTGGTATTAGAACACTATGTTCTTATTTATTTGTATGATCTCTCTTATGGCAAACATATTAAGCCTTGTCATATGTAGTAAGCAGGAATTAAATCGGTATTAGCATTCCAAAAAGCAATTCTCCTATATGTATCAAAAGCCTTAAAAATGTACATGCCATTTTACTCCATAATTTCACTTTACAAGTCTTTTCTCTCTCTCTTTTTTTATTAGAGAGAGAGAGAGCATGCGTGCACATGCTTGCTGGGTGGGGAGGGGCGGAGGGACAGGGATAGTCTTAAGCAGACTCTGCTATGAGTGTGGAGCCCCAAATGGGACTCAAGGGTTGATCTGATGACCCAGAGATCATGACCTGAGCTGAAACCAAGAGTTGGCTGCTTAACTGACTGCACCACCCAGGTGTCCCTGAGTCTTTTCTAAAGGAAAAAAAAAATCAGAAACAGATGAAAGATCTATGTAAATAGGTGTTTATAATTTTTGAAAAATAAACAACTTGAATTACCAGTAAAGAGCCACAAGAAATTCTATTTATGAAGATGGCTTAATGATGTGGGAAAGACTCATGATAGGAAGTGAAAGTAATATATATAAAACTCTAACTCTACTGTAGAAAATCAATAAATAAAATGTGTGCATGGCAAAAAGACTAAAATGAAATATATCGAAGTGTAAAATAACTTTTGATGGTTAGCTTAAGTGTAGGCTTTATTTTTTTCTACATAAAAATGTCTGTGTTTTTAATTTTTAGAAGTAAATTTTTTTAAAAGATTTTATTTATTTATTTGGCAGAGAGAGACACAGTGAGAGAGGGAACACAAGCAGGGGGAGTGGGAGAGGGAGAAGCAAGCTTCCTGCAGAGCAGGGAGCCCCATGCGAGGCTCGATCCCAGGACTCTGGGATCATGACCTGAGCCGAAGGCAGACGCCTAATGACTGAGCCACCCAGGTAAAATTTCTAATTTTAGAATCTAGTGGAAAAAATGTGTGTGTGTGTATATGTGAGTATGAGTAGTAACAAAAATTCAACCAATCATCCCTCAAAAAACATCCTACTCTAACCACATTTATAAAGGCAAACTCTAACTCTAACCACATTTATAAAGGCAAATGATGTTAGGTTTATATGCACCCAAGTCATGGCAGTTTCCTAATTAGATCCTTATGTCCTAATCTTGAAAAGGAAATGAATCATTTAACTAAAAACTTAAATACTCATCAGCAATGTAATGGTTTCTAAGTGTCCTAATGCTCCAGTCATTAAAAATGCAGTAGATTTACAAATCTTAGTTTTCAGGTGTTCTTTGTTCGTTCATTTCTTATTTGTCATCGACATTTAGAAAATCAATATAAAGTAGTTGAGTAGATAAACTCTCAAAATAGAAAACATTTGGAAAAATAAGTAAACTAACTCCAGATATATACTTGACATATCATTTCAAACTCTTCTGAGGTAGAAAAAGATAATTTCCACTTCAATGCCAATATTGATAAACTAAGATTTTATAATAAAAGAGGCAAAGAATTCTGTAGGCTATAAGACCCTGGAAGAAAATGCTGTATTCTCAATCACATAAAAACAAGTCATGGAAACTTTAGCTTATAGGGATTGTGTGGTACAGTGTACAGGGTACAGTGCCATATAAAGTTTGAAATGTATACAAAACAAAACCTGAGTTTCCATCTAACAAGAAATAGCCGAAAATCCCTGGTAACCCCAAAACCAAGGCAGAGACTATGACAAAACTCCAATCAAACAGGATTGTGGCTGACATGCAGATCAGATTTCACAGTAAAAGGATAAATCCCTTCTGTGCCGCTTTTCCTTTCTATACATATACCCTTCCTTTGTACCCACAACTGTCTCACTACTCATTGGATTATTCATCAAGGGAGACTGTGAGCAGTATAAAACCTGCAATAAAAGGAGGAATCAAAGAAAAAAAGATGTTTATTATTTTTAAAATAAAGGTGAATTATTAAGCCCACTTAGCAACTACTCACTCTCAAACTTTTTGGAGGAATATATAGAGAGGATCTTTAGTCTCATTTTTGTGAAACCAAACTATGAAAGAGCTTTATGATCTGGTAGTTGGATGTTTTGATAAACCGAAGTGGAAGTTAACTCAGCTCCCCACCACCCACCTCACCAATAAATACTCCTTTCTCCATATCCAATTACTGGGCCACTTTATTTTATTTTTTAGCATTCATGGCTTAATCAAAAAATAAGAATTTCTAGAGCACCTGGGTGCTAAGTCGGTTGAGCGTCTGTCTTCAGCTCAGGTCATGATCCTGGGGTCCTGGGATACAGCCCTGTGTTGAGCTCCCTGCTCAGCAGGGAGTCTGCTTCTCCCTCTCCCTCTGTCCCTCCACCCCTGCTCCAGCTCTCTCTGTCTCTCACTTACTCTCTCTCAAATAAATAAATAAAATCTTAAAAAAAAAGAATTCTGAATACAGCATGGATCCTACATAAAAAATAAACAGTGCTAAACTGTGAGTACATAGAGGGCACAGTCTGCCTTCATTCATTCATTTACTCATTTTATCATTCAGCAAATACTTATTGAGTCTCTACTGTGTGCCAGGGAATCTCGTGGTGAGCTAGAGTGACTCTGTCCTGGCCTTCTTGAAGCTTACATCTAATAGAGAATATGAAACAGATTATATTATAAATAACTATTCAATTATAATTTTATTAAGCGCTCCGAACGAGAAGTTCAAGGTATAATGAAAGAGGTAAAGGGTATCAGGGAAAGTCTTTTCTGACAAAGAGACATTTACTTATTTTTTATTTTTTAAAAGATTTTATTTATTCATTTGAGAGAGAGAGCATGAGAGGGAGGGAGGGTCAGAGGGAGAAGCAGATACTGGGACTCCAGGATCATGACCTGAGCCGAAGGCAGTCTCTTACCCAACTGAGCCACCCAGGCGCCCCTGGTAAAGAGACATTTAAACTGAGTCATAAAAGATAAGCAGAAGTTGTCCTGGTAAAATGGATGGGAGGGATCATTCAGGTAGAGGGAACAGAGTATTTGAAGTCTCTGAAGGCAGGACGACTCTGGTGCATTCTAGGAAGTGAAAGAAGACAATTCTGCCAAAGGGCTGCCAGTGTGGGAGAGAATAGGGAGAGAATCCCAACGATATATTTAGTACAGCATCTGGTTCAAAGGGGATGCTCAATAAATGGTCATGGCTGAAGGCCCTTTAATAACAGCTGACCTAGATTAAAAGCAGCTGCTAAGTCTTCCACTTTTCTTCTTTGGTTGTTCTTTGCTCAGTTATCTCCTGAGAAGTACTCCACACACATTTTATTTGGATATCACATCTTTCTCTCCAGATGGCAAATAACAAATCAAACTGGTAATCAGATACTAAGGGACCAAGTCCTACCTGTATTGTTCTTCCAGACAAGTTCTATGTTCTGTAAGAGAATGTGTATGGAAACATGAAGACTGCTTGATTAACCCTGGAAAATGACACAGTTGAATTTAAGGTGCTTTTGCTAACAAATCTGAAAGAATGCAGTGTTGGCTGGAATGGTCAGCTCAGAATGGCAAAATGATACATGGAGAAGGCTATGAGAAAACTGACAGATTTTCTCATGTAGCATTGAAACACAACCAGATGGTGGGTTTTTTGCTGTCTTTGCTCCCAGTATGAGTTAGTATGTTCGAATGTTTGAGTGACTTTGTAACCCTGTTTGGCTTTCTTTGGCTATAATGCCACCATAAAGTGAACCATTCTTGTAGGTGTTGGATATCTCTGATGAAGATCTTAACTAGCTTTAAAAATTAAGTCATTGGGGTGCCTGGGTGGCTCGGTTGGGTAAGTGTCCAACTCGATTTTGGCTCAGGTCATGATCTGAGGGTTATGAGATCACGTCCTGCTTTGGGCTCTGTACTCAGCAGGGACTTCGCAGGACATTCTCTCTCTCTCCCTCTGCCCCTCCCCCTGCTTGCATGCACATGCGCACTCTCTCAAATAGATAAATCTTAAAAAAAATTAAGTCACCAATTTTAATACACACATAAAGCACTTTATGCATTAAAACATCACTTATATTGAACATAATATATTGAACATAATAAAAATAAATAAATAAAAAAACATCACTTATTAGCTGTGTGACTTTGGCATGATAATTTACCTCTCTGTGCCCTTGGTCATCTTATCTGTAAATCACGGATTAAAAAAATAATACCTTATAGGGTTATTGTGATGATTAAATAAGTTAATGTTTGTAAGGGCCTAAGAACAGTGCCTGGTACATAGAAAGTACTATGTAAGTGTTTATTAATTAGA